CAGACCTGTTGAGGCATACGTGTGAGTGCAAGTTCACAAGCATGTCTATGTTTGCATTGTGTCTGGGTCATTACGTGAATGTGTGTGTGTCTCTGTGTGAATGTGAGCTTTGGAGGGTGGGTGTGTGCCTGTGTACTGGACACATTAGTGGCCTATATAGCAAGGTAGGAAGAGACCAGGTAGGAGCCTAGCGCTGCCTCCCTGGGGAACACAATGGAGGGCTGGGACCCTCCTCAGAGCTGGAGCAAAGGGATCTCTGGAGGGCTCTCCCACCTGCTTTCCTCCTAGGCTGGCCGGGCCCTTCGGTGGTTGAACCTTCAACACAGGGTCTGAGGCACTGGGAGGGGGTGATTGCTGGCAGACAGTGGTGGTGGCCTCCTCTTTAATCACCAACAGTCCAGATTTTCCAGAGCTGGTCAGAGGCCCAGCCCAGGGAAGTCCCTGGCTAGGAGGGGCAAGGTGTAGAGACCAAGTCAGTCACAGTGGCTTCTGGGCTAGAGAAGAATGGAGGGAGCAGGGGGGGGACCCTGGAAGGGGGAGTATGAGAAAGGACATGGGGTGAGGCTGTAGGAGGATTGCTCTCTGGGCCCTGTCAGGGCTTCCCAAGATTGGTAAATGCCTGGTTCCCACGGGGCTGCCTCCCTCAGGGGCTGGGCTAGGCTGGGCTGACCTCTCCCCACTTCCAGGAGGATGACAAAAAGCAAGCTTGGATCCAAACTCAGATCTGGCTTGACACCATGACCTGAAGACAGGGAGGCCAGAGGGAGAGGAGGTGGACTAGGGGAAGCCTAGGGCTCCTGGGAACTGTGGGAGGTGCCTGGCCACATATGCTCTGAGGCCGGGAATTTCCTCCCAGAGTCACTTGGCTCTTTCTTCTCCATCCACCAGTGGCATCCTAGAAACCCTATCGTAAATGGCAGGCCCAGGGCCACAGTGGAAACAGCTGGGAGGGAAAAGGAGGAAAACAGGAAAGACCTTGGAGAAAAAGTTGGGAGACCTGCCTTCTAAGCCCGGTGCTTCTGAGAACACTTTGTGAGGTCTAGGGCAAGTTCCTCTGCAGCTCTGGGCCCTGGGCTTTGCTGCCTTTAACTCATGCCAGTCCCTGTGGCACCTCATTCTTTCTCTACCCTATGCACTGGACTCTGCCCTTCGTGTTCTTGGTGAAGAAAGAGGCAGAGAGCAATCACAGGTGTAAGGGCGGGCAGGGCTATGACCTAAACCCAAATCTGTCTGACTCCAGAGCCTAAACCCTAACCCTTGCATGACCCACATCCTCTTGGAGGAGGGGCAAATTGTGAATATGATAGAGTTTGATTCACCTTCAGGTGCCTAATGAACGTGAAAACTTAGGGATCTCTCAGAGCCGTCTGTCCATCCCTTATGCAGTGATTTGGGAGGAAGATAAAGTTAAAAATGCTTCTGAGGCCAAGGGTGAGAAACAGGGACCATAGGTTCTGCTCACTTCTTTATTTCTTACCCAAAAAATATGATTACCTACTACAATTTCAGTCAACATCGATAGTTAAATTTCTCATTTAACTATCACTCAAATCTCTCTCTCATGTGCACACACCCAATACCAAAAAGCACCTAGAATCCACCATGGGTTTTATATTCCCCAGATTGCCTCCGGCTATAGAGCTGGGAGACTGGGTGGAAGGAAGGGACCCAGACCCTGGATCCCTCTCTTCCTAGTTCATTAGCCGCTCAGCTTGAGTTTCATTCCCCTGTAGCCAAGACCCCAACTCACAAATTCACCTACTAGAGTAAGGCTGAGCTGGTTGGCTTTAGAAGCTCGTCTTCCCAGCCGTGGGGTGTGTGGAAATAGCACTGCTCTGGGAGAAGGAGCCTTGGGTTCTAGCCGTCAGTACTGATCACAAACTTGCTGTGAGACCTCTAGCAAGTCCCTACCCTTCTCGGGCCCTTGGTGGCTTTATCCTTGTGAGAGAAAGCCTGGGTCTGATCCTTTCTAAACGAGGTTTTAAGGACTGGCATTTTGAGCTCTGTCTTACTGGCTGGCAAGACTGCATCGCCTAATGCTTAAGAGCGGAAAGAATTTAGGACTTGTTGCTGTATAAGACCTTGGGCAAGTCATCTAACACCTCAAAGCCCCAGTTTCATCTGTGAAATGGGGATGACAGGGGTAATGACCTCAGGGTGGTTGGGAGATACCGTTATGTCAAACTGCAGACCCAGCACACGGCAAATACTCCGTAAATGTTACCTCTTAATGTTTTTAATACGTCACCGCCACTCCTTTTTAGGCATTTGATTTAAAGCTCAGTCAGTTATGGGTGAGTTTCTTGGTATGTTTTTTAATTCCCTCAAATGTGGACTTCGGTCTTTCTTTGGAGCATCCTTAGTGGAGGGGATGCAGAGGGAGGGAGTGGTGGAAAGGAGACTGGGAAGTTGCATGCTTTAAAACAAAAACAAGATAAAACACAGGCCTTTGATTCTCCTCCCAGGTGGGGCTTTGTGCAGGTGCTTATTGTCATTCTGGAAGAGCAAGAAATTTCCAGCTGCCTGAGTCACTCAGCTCTTGGCTCGGACATCTCCTTCCAGATCTGGGGGTGGCAGGGGGTGCCAGGCTAGGGGCCCTATTTCCATCCTGCCAGGGGTCTCGGGGACCACTGAGGATGTGGATGGTGACATGGAACTTGGGGAGGGTGCATTCCTGGGTTTAACAGTGAAGTTCTGTCCAGTGTCTGCAATCTGTGTCTATACACCACTATCGTTTCTCGAATGCCTACTCTGTGCCAAGCTTTCCTTGCATTAACTCATTTATCCTCATGATCACCTGAGGGGTAAGATACAATTTCCTCCATTTTTCAGAGAGGAACTAAGCCTTAGGGAGACCACCCAGCTAGCAAGTGGTTGAGTAGGGGTTAGAACCCAGTTAGTTAAATTCATAGCCTGTGTTCATAATGAGTGTTGAGTTTCTGTAGGAAAAATCATGACACTGGAAAGACAACATGGTGCTGTGGAAAGAGCACATATAACTGGAAAACCAAGGTCCTGGCTTCCAACAGGCATCACTCAATGGATGCGGCCCTGAACAAGTCCTTTACTATACTGAGGCCTCAGTTTACTTATCTGTCAAATAGGGGATAGTGAACAATGGTCTCCATGGCTTCTAACATGGTGGGAAGTTCTGAATTCAAACTCTAAATTCAATTTAAGACTTAAAAGGAGGGAAGGGGTGGGTGTGGTCATGACTTTGAAGAGCATTTTCTCAAACATTGTGTTAAGAAAAATTATGTCAAAATAGGGAATCAGTCAAAAAAAAAAATGACCACATGACCTTTTTATGTCATACCAGAGTACTGTCCAGCAAGTCCACTTAGGGGTCATCAGGCACTTTAAGGGATGAAGCTATTTGCCTAACTCTCGAAGGTCAGACATTTTACAAAAACAGTTGAAATTGTTTGGAAGCAAAATGCAAATAGGTGGAGACTCTTCATTTTTTTAAAGTAAATTTCAGTGTTCATGAGAAGACTTGGGTTGAGATTAGGAAGACAGCATTCCAGGAGGCAAATTGGGAACTGTAGACAAAGAGCAGGAAGAAAGCCGGTTTGGGGAAGCCTAATGGGTAGGGGTGATTCCTGTGAGCCGCTGGTGAACCAGCCCCAGATTCTAATCCTTCTGTACCCTCCCCTGTTGGTGACACTCAAAGGTGCTTTGCTTGGCCTTTGCATCCTCCTCTCCCCACCCTCTTTAAAATCAGAGTCTATGAGTACTTCTTTTCCTAGTTAAAATGAACAAAAATTAGTATTGTTTTGAGAATGTGGTAACACTTTTGAAGTAACTAAAGGCATCCCAGAATTTGAAGACAGCTTTGAATTAACTGAAGTCACAAGGCCTGAGAGGAGAATCCTCCAATTAGGTTTCTACTTGGATAGGGGTGTGTGTGTGTCCGTTCACAGTCGCAGTTGATTGACAGATCTCTCCTTCTGTAAAATGAGGGCCTGTATGAAATAGCTCGCCAAGTCATTTCTGAGGACCAGGGCCTGTCAATGACTGTTTTCATCAGTTCCCAGGAAATAAGTCTTTTGCAATTGGTTTTTCATAAAGCTATATTTACCCCCACTTAAAGAGCTGTCCTTTATTCCCAGTTTAGGTCCTTTTTTGAAATTAAAACACTCTTAAATAAAATGATGGGCTTAAAGAGATACCAAAGAAAGTGTTCCCACCGTTAAACCAAGCCGCTCCTTAAGGGTCTGGGAAATCCCACAGCTGTTTGGACGATCTGTCCCACAAATACGCAGACAGGGTGGGAGGCAGACTCTAGATTTGCCCACCGGGGTTTGAATCTTGGTTCAGCCACTTACTGTCAACTAACCTCTCAGTGCCTGATATGTTAATTTATTTACAGTAAACAAGGGTGGCCCTGCGAAAGAAATAAAGCATGCAAAATGCTTACAATGTCTGGGGCAGTAAGTATGCAAAAAAAAAAAAAAAAAACATAAATGAGAAATTAGAGATCTAGTTTTTAGCAAACACAAAGTATACAAAAAAAAAAAAAAAAAAAAAGGAAAGAAAAGTTCTTTAGGGGGTTCTTTCAGCTTGAGTTTCTGGGAGCTCTGCGAAGTTGTTCGGGAGCGCCCTGGACCCAACTCTGGGGCCCTGAGCTCTAGCTCTGGCTCAGCTCCAGATGCTTACGTGCCTTTTGGCAAGTCCCCTCCCCGCTCTGGTCCACGAGCCCCTGGCAGCAAGGAAAGGATGGGGTGGTCTCTGCGGCTCGTCTCCGCTCTGAAATTCCGGCCTCATCCCGGACTCTGGGGCTTCCGGCGCGGGGAGTGCCACGAGGGGCTGCCCAGGCCCCGGAGGTCACCGCCCGAGGGGCTGGCCCGCGGGAGGGGGTACCGGCGCCGGCTCAGCCGCTCTCGGCCCCGGACCTCCCCGGGCGGCTGCTGTTTACCTCGCTCCGTCCCACCCCCGCGGCCGCGGGCCCGCCCCGACGGCGTAGCGCGATTGGGCGAGCGGCCTGTCAATCGCCGGGGACTTTCCCCGGGGTAGGGCGGCCCTGCCCCTGACACTTCCTCGTCCCCGGCGCGGTCCCCCGCCCCGGCCCAGGAGCCCGCGGAGCGCAGGAGGGCCAGACACTGGCCGGGCCGATAACCCGTCCCTGGACCCGGGGCTGGACGCAGAGAGGGGGACGGTGTGCTCCAGGGCCCCCAACCTCAGGTAAGCCGGCCGGCCGGAGCGCGGCTGGGGCGGAAGGGAGTCCGCGACCCGGCCGTTCACAGCCTCGGCAGTGACCGGGCTGCGGAGGAAGGGGCTGGTCGGGCCCGGCCCGGTGGCCTGGGCTTTTCGGCTCCTGGGCCCCGGCGCGCGAAGTCCCGGCGGCGGGGGTCCGGCGGCGGCGAATCCCTGCCCCGCGCGGAGGGCGGTGGGCGCGCCTGCGCACTGCGTGGGCGAGCGCGTCTGGGAACGGCGTGCAGGCGGTGTGCAGGGCGTGCGGACCAGCCGGGTGGGGCAAGTGGGCCGGCGCGGGTCTGGGTTAGTGTGCGAGACCAGCTTGGAAGCAGTGTGCGGATGTAATGAAGAAGAAAATAATAATTTATTGGGTGCTTTCCAAGTGCTGATCTAAACCCTTTTCGTGTATTAAACTCTTGTAATTGTCACATCTTTCTTTAAAATGAATATTGTTATTATCATCCCCATTTTACAGTTTAGGAAACCGAGGCACCTGGAGATTGGGGTCACACAGCTAGGGAGTTGCAAAGTCAGGATTCGAAGCCTGGCATTTGGCTCCAGCGTTCCTGCTGTCCAGTTTCTTTTGAACATACTTGGCACACTGTTGGAGGCAACATTTGTGTGCATGTGCAGTGCCGGGTAGCTGTAGTGAGTTTCTGGGAGTGATTTTAGGTGTGGAGTTTTTAGGTATGGGTGAGTTTTCCACTGTAGAACATTTGTGTATGTGTGTGTTTGTGTGTGTGATGGTACATATGGAAGTGATTACATTGTACATTCATTAATTGTATGTATGGAGGTGGGCGTGAATTTTGTGGGACCGGGTGAGAGATTGTGTTTTGGTTGGGGTGGTTTGTGGATGATGCAGAAGAATCAGCAACGTCCATCCCCACCTTCTTGCAGAATGACAGTACAGAGAAATCTGTGGATTCCTGATGCATCATTTTAATTGCACAGTATCATGAAAATAGAATTTAATCAGCATGTATTTTCCAAACAGCAGGGTATGGTAGAGGGGAATTCAGCATCGGATGAGAGGTCAGGAAACAAGAATCTCAATTTTTTTTCTTTATTCCTGATCATGGATATTGCATTAGGAGGCGGAATATTTATTAGTACAAAGGCATAGGAGTCTTGTGATGTTGTATTAATATCCTTACAGCAGACAGAACCGAGGTAGTGAAAAACCAAGAGCGGTAATGATGACAGCGTACATTTATGAACACTTACCTCTGCCAGGCACAGTGCTTTATATTCAGTATCTCATTTAATCTTTTCAACAACCCTGGGACAGAGTCACTAATAGTAGCCTCAATTTTCAAATGGGGAAATTGAGGCCCACAAAGGTTAAGACTTGGCCAAGACCAGTAAGCCTTGAATAGTATCACTCTGTTCCTTTTCCACTGACCAAGCTTTCTGTCCTCTCTGTGTCCTGGGAAAATAGTATAATCAGGAACTGGCCCTTCATGGAAGCACTTGATCATGGCCCCCTGGGGGCTGCAGTTGTGAGTGTCTTATATTCTACATACTTCTCTGATCCTGTTTTCCCCCACCAATGGGTGTCCTGGGGGTACGGTAAGGTTCTCATGCTGAGGGGTGGTACCCGCCCCTATGCCCACACCAGGTCTTTGGGGGCCCCAGGAAGCCGTGGGGTCTGACTCATACCCTTACCCCTAATGCTGCCTGTGAGTTGGGGCCCAGATGTCCTGGGGTGGGTCAGGCCCACCTGGTTTGAGCACCTCACAATCGTAAGTGGTCGTCTGTCTGTCTGTCTCTCTGAGTACTCCTGGGTACGGCAGCTGCTTGCCCTGCTATTTAGCCAGGGCAGCCTGCTTTTTTTTTCCCTCCAACGTGCCAAGCTTGTTCTTGACTTGAGGCCTTTGTATGTGCTGTTCCTTCTGCCTGGAACGCCTTTCCCCATTTCTTTACATGGCTGGTTCTTCCTTATCTGTCAAGTCTCAGTGCAAATATCACCTCCTTAGAGGGGCCTTGCCTGACCTTTCTATGCAAAGTGGCCCCTTTTTTCACTTTCTGTCATATTACTATTGTGTTTTTCTACGCTCATCACGCTCTGAAATAATCTTGTTTATTTGCGAATGAGAAAGTATATGTATGGAACTTAGTGTCTAGAATATAATAATGTTTAGAGTTTCCTTGTTTGTTGCCTTTCTCTTTTCCTGGAGCAGAAGGGGGAGAGCAGGAACCACTTTAGTGCATGTGCATCTCTGATCCTGGATCAGAGTGTCTGGGGGTAAGGCTCTGCTGGGTTTGTTCAGTGGATGAGTAGAGTAGAAGAAACAAGAATAATGGTGCATTTCACAGATGCGGGAACTGAGGCCAGGAGATGGGAAGGCGCTTGTCCCAGAAAGGTAGTGGCAACGTCAGGATGAGAACCAGAACTTGCTCCCCAAGGGAATTTTTTTCTTTCTTTCTTATAGTCAGCAAATTTTCCCCGACTGGCCTCATGCCCAGGCTTCTAGAGGAGCATGATGCTCAGGTGCATAAGGAACGAGCCTGGCCCTCCAGAAACTTGTAGTGGAATGGGGAGAAATGTGCTCTGAGTGTGGTCTTGAAGGCATTGCGTGCCAGCAGGTGCCCAGCATAAGTCTCACTGGAGTGCAGGGCAATTCGGGGGCACCAGGGGGCCAGGGGGCTTCTCAGGGGAGGTAGCTTCAAGGCCAGGCTCTAGTAAGATGATGAGTGCAGAGTGGGGCCTGAGTGCCTTCTGGAACGTAGTAGACTGGGTAGAGGGTTTGGGGTAAGGCTCTGTTGGGTTGGGGGAGCTGGCCAGCCGGACCAGGAAAAACCCTAAGGTCTTGGCTACCAGGCAGAGAAGTTGTGGTTTCTCCCTGTGGCAGCATCGGGAAGTGATTGGAGTGGTTGGTTGGCAAACGTAAGCGTGCACGTGAAGCACCTGGGTGGCTTGTTAAACACATATCGGACCGTGTCCCCAGAGGGGCTGATTCAGAGGGTGGTGGCCGTGCTGCTGCGTGGCTGTGGTGCACTGGGGGAACCCCTGTGCTTCAGAGTTTGGCACACCTGAGTGGGTGTGGCCCCTGCTCCCTGGTCTGTAAGGTCCTCCCATGTCAGTGCTATCTTCTCTGGTGCTGTGAATGAATGGGACAGCACAGGGCTGATCAGTGCTAGCTGCTGATCTTGTGAGTGAGGATAATCGTGAGCATGCTGATGGGATTTCAGTAGGAGATGGTGGGGATGGTCCGATTTTTCATGCTTTGGGATAGCTCGCCTTTAACCCCTCTGCCACGTATGGACCATGCTGTGTCCTCTCTGGATGGGTTGTCCTTTGCTCTGGGTCCGATGTCTTTCCATCCCTGTTTGGAAACATGGACACTTACATGCGGGAGGGGCACAGAGGACATCTGGCCCCCGTCCCCTCAACAGCACCCAGCCCCTCCGCAGGTGATCATCCAGTCTCGGCTTGACCCCTACCCCAGAGTCAGGGAGTGCTGTACCTTATAGGCAGCCTCCTCCCATGTCATGGCTGGTTAGCTTTCAGTGAGTCCCCCTAGGGGCAGCTTCTTCCAATCTCACCTCCCTTTTCCCTCCTTGCCCAGCTGACCACTTGGAGGGAGGAAGGGCACGGTGCCCTGCGGTAAGAGAGTGCACGGCTGGCACCCGAAGGCCTAGGTTTGCCTCCCCTCTGTGTCATTGCCATCCTGTGCAGCCTCCAGCAGGTCTTCTTCCTTCGCTGGCTTTGGTGTCCCAACTGCAGCGTGGAGATTGCACTGGCTGACGTCTTAGAATGTTCTCTTTCAGCTCTTAAAAACTCTGGCCCAGTGACCGGGCTGCCCTCTCTCTGGCTCCATCCATTCCTGAGCTCTTCCCGGGGGGGCCAGGCCTCTCTGGGCGCCCCCTCCCTCCCCACTTCTCCTTGCTGCTGCCCCCCTGCCGGCCCGCAGTGCCTGCTCCTCTTTGCCCTGTCCCTGTTGGAAGGGAAGGTGTCCGAGGCCCTCTGGAGAGTTGCCAAAAGGAAGGCTCAGGGAGGCAGGGGGAAGCTCGCTTTGTTCCACGGAGCAGAGCTCCCCAACCTCCAGGGACAGACCTTGGCAGTCACCTCAGCCTGTTAGTTGCAGGAAGTTTTTGATGTTTCCCCCCCCCCCCGTGACTGGCCCAGGACAGTCACTCTTCCAAAAGGAACAGATGACTGGTCTGAGGAGCAGCTAGCTGGCTCTTTGTCTCCAGGCAAGGCTGAGCTCTTCTCTCCCCAGGGACCTCACCCTGAAGCTGTTCCCTGTGCCCTTGAACACCTACGGGGTGGACAAACTGGGTGGCCCAGCAGATGTATGTGTGTGGGGGCGGTGGGGGCGCCGTGGGAGTTGTGTCACCAAGGAGTCATACTCAGAGGCCAGAGCTGGTATTTTTAGGGCAGGCATGGGGGGTGGCCCATGAGTCAGGGGCCTTTGGTTTGGTCTCCACCCACACTGGAGAGTGCTCGCTCCACTTTCCACTGTCTGGCAGGCCATCATCCTGGCCTTTTCGTGGCCAGCTTCATCAGTGCTCTGGGGGACCTTGGTGCCTCCACATCCCCACTTCTGCCCCTGCCAGTGCTCTCCCCTCCCCAGGCCCAACCCCGGGGAAGAACAGGAGCCGAAGGAGAGCAACACTAACTTTTGGAAAACACGAAGGAATTTTTCAGACGTAGAGGGTAACATGCACTCACCGGGCACCCACCCATCTGGCTTCGGAAATGACACATTTTTGTACACCTGAAATTTCTCCTTGATCATCCCCTTTCCCTCCCATCTGGAAGTAGCAAGAGTTCTGAATTTAAAGTTTATTCTCTTATATTTCTCTATAGTTTTATTATCAGTGTAGGGCTCCTTACACAATGTGTAGTACAGTTTTGTATGTTTAAGAATGCTGTTTAAGTGCCATCATACTGTCCGTATTGTGCAACTTCCTTGTTTTGCATAATATTATATTTGTGAGATTCAGTGATATTCATATCTCTAGCTGTAGTTCATTCATTT